GCTCAGATTTATTTATTTATAAAGTGCACGTGTCAATGCAAAACCCGTAGGCAATGGGTCAAACAACATGTTATCTCTCTGATATACTCCATCAAAATTACTTTTTGAGATTCATTGAATAATTAGCCTATGTTGTTTTGCCACGTTAGAATAACGTCTTATTACAGTTCTCTATAAAATTGATATTTTGGTGGGTGATTCGATTTAGGGTTACAATTTACAGTATATGAAAATGTTAGGTTAGGGCCTGCAACATGGTCAACCCTTGTTATATTTTTGTCACCTTTTTTTGGTTATTATCAAACAATTATTTTTGCCTTCACTGGCTCATTTTAATGGTCCTGCAGTGTAAGAAATGTTTGTTGTTTTTTTAACATAAATTAAAACGGCAGATTATATCATAGTATCTCAATAAATACTGGTTACAAAAGCTGCATGTACAACAATAAAAAACTGTTTAACATGGTTAGGTGGAATATAGCCTGTCACACAACTTCCCAACAGTATTTAATGTCAGCTAAGTCGCTTATTTATTTCCAGTGATGCAATTTCTTTTCATTCAGACAAGCTTATGATTTGCTCTGTGTTTTTATAAACCAACAAAAGTATGTCCATGACACATTAGGGGGAAAAACTGTGTTTTCATTTCTAAGAATTGTGGCTTGTATCTCACTGTCTGGCTAGCTAGCAAACAAGCTAACAAGGTTACATTATCTTAGCAATGGAAATTAAACCTTCGTCCAAAAATTAGAGTTTAATTTATGACTTTTACAATGTTATTTTACTAACCGCTTCTTAATATCAACCGAATATCCGACAGAGCGGACATATTTACGCTATCAATGCAATGGGAGTGTGTGGCTAGTTTAGGAAAGATTTGCAGGAAAATACGATGTGTCGATTACGGCCTGCTAAATTGAACTGGATCACTTAAAACAAAGTACATTTTAGCATTTTGCTTTTTTGAATTTATGTTTTCCAGAATTCGATGTCAAGATACTAACAGAATGAGATCTGCTTGTGCTTACCGACCTCAGTACGGTTTCTCGCTTCCTCGTGCATGCCTCAGTGTTATGAAACGCGACACTCGCTTACAAGCTCGGTTGTGACAGGAGGGGGAGTGACTTTCAGACAGACACATATATTTATCGAATTAAATTAATTGCGAAGGCTAAATTGAGTTGTTGAAATTAAATTGTTAATGTTTCCTTCAGCATTTATCTCTCTCTCTCTCTCTCTCTCTCTCTCTCTCTCTCTCTCTCTCTCTCTCTCTCTCTCTCTCTCTCTCTCTCTCTGTACAGCAAGTAGTGAGAAATAGTTGACTGTTTTTTCCCCCCAAACTTTTCTCAAAAACTCATTCAACAGTTGAAGGAAAATGTTTAATAATGACAACTTACAGTAAGGTTAATGAATTAATTATTATTTTATACTGAATGCATTTGCATACTGTGAAAATACAGTGACCCAACTGCAAAAGCCTAAAAAGGTTATACAGTAAAAAACCTGTAAATGAAGAGCATGCTACATACACTCAGACGAGTTGCAACTGCAAAATCAAGTTCAGTGAGCGAGACTGATTCTGCTTCAGCATCATGTCTTCATTTTGGTCTGGCCAGAGGACTTTGTCCACATCACAGACACTGTCATCTCTGCAGGCAAAGGGAAAAACCCTAAAGCCAGTTCCAGCCTTGACAACATTCTTCACAGCTTTCTGTTTCTCATCCTCATTCTCTTACATACTATTCCTTCTTTCCCTCTTATATTGTTTCCATCCAATGTTGGTATCAACATTAAGTGCAACATTTTGAATCAGTTTTGGGTCTGAACCGACTTGTATTATGTACAGTTGGTTTGGTCACGTCATTAGAAATAAGTCTGAACAATTTTGAGTTGTTGGGTGTAAAGGATGGCAACTGTGTCGTAGTTGTGTTGTCGTTTTGAAACACAAGTGCATCACAGTGAAAAATGTGTTTTAGTGAGTGTGTTTAGAAATTTGCAAAAACACTGAGTGCTAGAGTGATTTATTCGACAAATTGGTTTAGGCTATTGAGAATTTGGTTCAGAGTTTAGTGTTTTAGCAAATTCAGAAAAACTAACAAACTGAACTGTGATTTAGAACTCCCTTCGTCATCTTTGGACTAATTATATGTTACAGATATAAACATATAGCTTTATTAGTAGCGTACAATTTGCTATTGGTTCAAATATTGTATCTGTATGTTTTATATCATTAAATCTCTTAAGCAAACTCTCTCACATGTAAAAACAGGCAATATTCATTGAGCAAGGTCCACTGTCCCATTCTTTGATTTATAAAACAGCATGTCTTACAACAAATTGTGTTTTAACAAACAAAATGTATTGAATTTAAATCATGTCATGGAAAATGGGGGAAGAAATATTGTCACTAAGCGATAGGAATGTGTGTGAGCAGAGATAAGAGAGATGCAGAGAAATTTCCCTTGGCTCAGCATATTAGAAGTATGCGGCCATATAACTGCCTGTGGAAGTGTGAATTTAAGGCATTAATCTGTCAGGGTCAGATCATTACTATGGAGATGACAAGCTGCTTGCATGAATGGAGTGGTTTATTGCCATGGTGACAGGGATATATTGACCCAATTGCTCTTGTACAGTAAATGCCTAAGAAACAGAAAAAGGTCAAGGGAGAAATTCAGATATGACAGAATGAAAAGAAAGGGCACCATAGACTTAGACACACACACACACACACACACACACACACACACATATATTTCTTATGCCAATCTGAGACATTATTGTCATATGAACAGCATTCAGATGACCAGAATAGAGCCGAGCTTATGTGTGTGTGTGTGCTGTCATGCATAAATGTACACTGCATGTGTGCCCAAGTGTGTTCATCGACGTAAGGGTGCTTGTGCTTGCTGTGCGTTCAGCTGTCTCATATGGATGTGCATTCATGTGTATGAGAGTTGTGTTAAAGTGAGCACATTTACGTTAAAATGAGTGGATGCAGAATGCTAAGAGATTGCTAAAAATTTACAAGGGGAATGAGAGAACATGTTATGGTTTCTCAATTGTAATACATTTCTGTAATCGGTAGATTGCTGCCTTTGAGGAAAGAATTTAACCCCAGGTTGCTCCAGGGGAAACGTCACTATAATAAATATACTGAAAGCCACATTGAATTAAAGTGCCTGGTAAATGACGGCTTATTTATGGAGGTTTACCTAGTTCACTTTAAAACATGCTCTGGTTTCACAGGGTTTGGATTAATTAGGCCTTAGTTCAATTAGGACAGTTATGTGGCTTTTATAAACGTGCCCTTAGAAAAAAAACATGACTGATTAAGATGTCAGTGCAAGTTGATTTTAGTTAAAAAAGCTCAATTATGCATTTTAGTCTGACTAAGGCTTAAGACTTTTCTGTGAAACAGGGGGTGAGCCTCAGTCTCAGAGAGATTGGTAATGTGATGATCAGTGTTGTGTTCTAGATGTGTTGTTCAGATTGGTACCCTGCACGAAGGTCTGTGCACTCATAGGGTGCCACTGCCAGAAATATAAATAATGGGGAGTACATTGACAAAAGCTCTTTGCTGTAAACTGCAGCACCTCCTAATGTCAGAGCCAGAGAACTGTCTCGCGATGGAGCTGTCCTGTACTTTAGGATGAACTCTGAACTTACCTGAAATGTTAATTTTGCTAGATGTTTGATAAGCATCTTGTGATTATTGCTTGTTTGTGTGTGTGTGTGTTTAAATCCCTCACCCTTGTTGAGAGATTTCGAATTTAACTATATACAAACCGTTACACTTGTTTAAAGCATGCAATAAAACATTTTTAAAGATCGCACAACTGATTTTTTTCCAACCAATTTCGAGTTTATATCTCGCAATTCTTAATTTAAACTCACAATTTTGCCTTTCCCCCTCGCAATTTCGAGTTCTGACTTCTTTTCTCCGAATATTTCAGAAAAAAAAAAGATTTTTTTTCTTTCTCTCTGTCAGACTCTTCAGATAATTGGCAGATCAAGCATGCATGGTGTGCGTTAGTATATTCTCTCACCGTCCTCTTGTGTTTGACAGGTTAGACATGTTTTTGCAGTCTCTGATCGGCTTTCCAGCTTAATAGCTCAATGCAGATGTTCTAACAACATGACAAATTGGACATCACTAAACTTCTGTTAATCACATAGCTGAATGGATAAAGAAATAGTTGCTCATCAATGTGGAAATGATTGGTAAAGAACGGTAAGTGGTTACCCTGAAGATTTCATCACACATGCTGGCTGCAGGATGAGCTTTTATTAAATGGTTAAAAAATACAGCTTGTGCCTTCTCATGTCCAGAACTCCTACTCATATAACGCCGTGTTGTCACACTTCGACATGATATGAAGCAACAGCTCCCCCATGTGGACTTTTCATGTTATTGTATATTGAAACAGAATACAATATACTTTTATTATTAGCCTCTATTTAGGTTGCATTTTCATTTGAAATGCAAGCCATCTCCCTCATTTTCATCTATTTTAATTATTGAATTTGTTTCTTTAGTTTTCACGCCTCGTGTTAAAGAGAGACTGTTCATTATTGCTCACGTAACAGAAAAGGATTATTATTATAAATAACTAAGTAAAAATATAGTTAAAATATTAAAAGTCGCAACATAGCCTAATGGGAGAACAAATTAAGTTACTGTGTCACTTAATTGTCTTTAAAATCTCACGACTGGCTAACATTTCAGTCTGACCAATATGAATGTTCCTGTCCAGCGCAGTTTCCATGTTAAAAATGATCGCTGTTGTAGTTTGAAAGCTATGACTCAAGAGTTGATAACGGCCAACTTTCCCAGACCGTCGCACAATGGACAATACAGCGGTCGATAAAGTTCCTGCCCTTGTTATAATTTCATTGGTCAGTTAGAGCGAAGCTGTGTCCTAATTGGCTGTTCCATCTGTCACTCAAATCTACTCATCAGTCTCAAGCACTTCCTCCGCTGAGAGACTAGAGTCCATGGAAAGTCCATCACTGGCCAACCCACCGCCTGTCCCCTCATGCGTGGAGTCCCCGGTTGTCGTGATGAGGTTGCATCGTGATTGCATGTCGATCGGACGGAGCTGAAAGCACAGAAGTCATGATGGAGACCGTAGAGCAGCTGGTGTCTTTCCAGCACATCCATGTGCAACTGAACGGAGGCGCTCCGTGGGGATTCACCCTGAAAGGAGGGCTCGAGCACGGCGAGCCACTCATCATTACTAAAGTAAGAGTTTACAAAGAGTTAGAAACTCATACTAGGCTATATGCTTGTGTGTGTCTCATCGATTATATTCAAACACTTGGTTCCTTTGTGCTGGAAGTTTAAACTTGAAATGTAACGGTGCATTGATGGATGTTTGGGAACTTTGTAAAAAGTTAGTGGCAAGGAAATGGACATGAATGATAACGTAAACATAAGACCAAGAGCATCATTAATGCTTGTGTTTAAACTGTTGTTTTCACAAATGACAGATCATGACTTTCAAGATCCATGAAAACCCAAAGCAAAAAAAGAATAATCAATGTTTGCATTCGAGCCAAATGCAATCTAATGGATCACTGAACATAGGTGAAGTGACCAGGGCTCTAATGCATATATTATTCATTATCCATTAACTAACACAACAAGTTTGGATAGACCAACAAATTGGCAAAACCGATTAATTATCGGTTATCGGCTTGGTTGAAGTGGTAAATTCATTCAGCATCAGATCCTAAATCTACTGACAGGAATGTCTAAGGATTTGTGTTTTTGAAGATTTTACAAGGAATTTTGTGTGAACATTTTGTGAAATAAGCATAAATGTTTATATATTTTGCACACATTCTGTTTTGGATTAAATTGTATTACATTGGGTGTCTTTCTCTGTAGAAACTACATCTGCTTTTAAAAGTTGTGTATATTTTCGTATTATAGGTCCTTTATATGTATGAGCCTGAGGCAGATTGTAGGAAACCAATCATGTTCAATTAGTTTTTTTTTTCAAACAAAATGACTAATAAAAAAAAAAAAAAAAGTTAAAATACACTCTTCATTATGTATTATGTGTGATAATTTTAAAAAAGCGAGTTTATCCAAAATATTAAAATAATCACTTTTTAGTTAATACTTTTTAATTTAACCAACTATGACTACTTTTCTTCCAACTAGGACTGTATTTTTTCTCACAGGGAGGTAAGGGAATCATATTTTATTCCTTCTCCTTCCACCCCCATTTCCTCTCCAACGGCATTTGACCAAAAAGTGTTGATTTATTTTTCTTAAATGAAGATGTTTTGGGGGGACAAGACCCCCAGAGATCACATTCCCAGACTCTGCCCCCTGAGTCAGCAGGGAGGAGGGGGTGAGGGTCATGAGGGGGAGGCTGGTATTTTTTTGTCTGACAGAGGGAAGAAATGAGTTTGATTTGTGCCTTAGTTTTCAGCATGTCTTCAAATGAGTTTACAGTTGTTTATTCTGGTGCTCAAAACATCTCGACAACTTGTAATGTGCGTTGAGTTGGTTTGGCTGTGTACTTGGTAAAATGTCTTTTCTTAGCTGTGCTGTGTTTAATTTAAAGTGCTTTAACACTTGGACCACAGTATTGTCTCTTTTATCGCTCACAGGCTTTTGACATTTACATGTCATTTGATCATTGTTTCTCAATGAATCACCAGCAGGATCAAAATGCATTCAAGATGAACTTTGTCTTGATGATTCTAAAATTTGATTGATTCAGTGTCCAGTCTGAAACTGAGTTGTTAAAGGTGGGGTAGGCAATTCCAGAGATGCTAGCAATAGCAAGTTAGCTTTGAAAGCATAAAATCCCACCCTCCCTTCAGAGCGTCTTCAAAGCCACGCCTCCTTCAAAACACATGACACAGCCAGAGCAGAGTCGGCAAAGAGTCACGAGACGAGAGACGCCGTTAAATTACCCCATGTCTCAAAGCATGTAACATTACAAAAATAATGAACATAAACAATATACAGAAACTTTTGCCTGTACCATCTGACTGCTGCAGATTAATATCAGCGTTGATAGTGTTGAGATAGAAATGCATAAATCCTAAATGCCATCTCGTAATTACGGTGGCGTGAATGCAGTATAAGCTTGTTGTTTTGGTTCAGGAGGAACGGTAAAATGCGGCTGCTATTTGTTTGCGGTGATCTACAACTCTGCATAGCTTCATGGAACATGCTAACGACATGTGATCTCTGTGCAGAGGTATGGAAATACATCTGTTCAATGGCAAGTAGGATTTTGTACCTGACATCAAAATTTTTTGGAGACTTCCACAGAAGATGTACATATTTAGACCACTTATGCCATTGATTGCTATCAGGATGTGAAGAAAGTTTTAACCAGTAATATAACAAAAAAGTCTTTATGAAAAAAACTGCCTAGCCTACCTTTTTAAAAGACATTTTCATGCACTACCAATATGTTTCTTAGGTGTCAGTGTTATTTTCTTGTAATATCGAGTCATTTCTTTTGAGTTTTTTTTCTGGTTAGTTCTTGTTGAGTGTCAACTATTGGTTTACTGGGGGTTGGATCATGGCCAATTCTCATAGCCTTATATTCACTAGCTGGACTTGTTAACTGCTTAACCTGAAACACATGCTTTGTTCGACACACATTCCCTGCATCTGATTCTATACCCGCGTCTGTGTCTATCTGCGTCACTCGATTTTGAGGTCTTTATTTGGATGTCATCATAAAGATGATATACAGAGGCTTTGTCAGTGTTGGAGTCTTCTGGGGCACATGGCTCCAGTCGCTGCCACTCACACTGATAGTCTTTCCATCTGATTTGGAGGCAAAGCACAACCTGCATGTTTTTTTGTTTTTTTTTCTCATGGAATCTCTTGCTCTCTGATCCTATCTACCATCTTTGGGCCCTGGGGGCATTATTTTGAACCCCCCCCCAAGTCTCAGTAGACATTTATCTCAAAGAGTAAACACAAGGACCTGGCGCCCAAGGCCAGACCCAATACAACCCCCAGGTGTTCAACATGTGCTCAAATTAAAATCCCATGATGGGTCATCGTGACCTCAGCCAGCAGCAAGAAGATACAACGGTATCAAGATTGATCAACAGCAAACAGTGGCTGGATATAATAGTCATCTCTAGGCTACATAAAAGTCTTAAAGTTGAAAATGAAAAAATGTAATAGCAACAAACTTGGTCTTGCATCCCAATTGTAACACTTTGAGCTGAAGAAAGCAACTTGTTCCCCTGCGTGATAAAACATTCCCAGACTTGTGATTTTCAAAATTGTGGTGAAAAATGCATGTAAACCATTTGTTTACAAAGAATGCTTGATTATTTTCCACATTTGTGCCTGTGCAACCCCCCCCCCCCTAAAATCCTCAAAGGCTTTTGCATTGAAATTGGCATTGAATGAACATGAGGGGCAGGCTGATTTATGTATAAAAACCTCAATGTTGCTGCTTTTCCCCGCTCACCACTTTGTTAATCAGCCCTCCCTCACATTCCCTGTCTTTTTTGTTCTCCTATTAAAGTAGAGATGGAAACATTGCGCATTTCCGTGCATTTCTCTTTTTCTGCTGTGAAGTTTATGTAGACCACATGGTACTCCAATCATCCCTCTCTTCCCACTCCTAATCGGTCAGTGGAACTTATTCTCAGGCGCTGGAGTTTTGAGGTGAAAGAAAGAAGATTTTGGACCGAGAGATGGAAATGTTTTAGTGGGTCAAAATGTTTTTTGTTTTAAGTTTGCTGGCAGTTTGAACTTGCAGTAGAGCAGAACACTTACCACCATATTCTAGTGTTTTATTAACAAATAGTCTATCTTTTTTTATAATTACACTCTCAGAAAAAAAGGTACACTGGGGCTGTACCTTTTCAAAAGGTAAACTTTTGTCCATTTTAGGTGCTAATATGTTCATTTTAGGTGCTAATATGTTAATTTCAGGAGCTAATATGTCCATTTTAGGTCCTAATAGTACATTTTAGGTAGTAATATGTACATTTCAGGTGCTAACATGTACATTTTAGGGGGTAATATGGACATTTTAGGTGTAAATATGTACATTGTAGGTGCTAAAATGTACATTTCAGGTGCTAATATGTACATTTCTGGTGCTAATATGTACATTTTAGGTGATAATATGTACCACTAAGGAACCAATATGCAGCTTTTGGGTACAAAAGTGTACCTTTTGAAAAGGTACAGCCCCAGTGACAGCTTTTGTACCTTTTTTTTCTGAGAGTGTAGATTTATTCTCTCCATTGGCATATTCTAACCCATGCACCACATCAAACTGCTTAGAGATCAAACTTGGATTCAAAGCTAAAAAATAACAGGAAAAAAAAGCAAAAAGGCAATGTGTTCTTTTATTTTAAATAATTTTATTTTTTTAATTTTCTCTTATGAAAATGAATGGGATTTTACTTCCAGAACTATTTTTTCCTCTTCTACTTCCATTTTTATCATCCCTCTGTTTAAAGTAGGATTACTTCCCCATTTCTGTTAATCAGTAATGCTATACTTCTGCTTCTGGATAACTTCCCAAAGTTAAATCATATCAGTTTTGGATTGCTGTGTGAAACTCATTAATCCTGAGAGGTAATGCTTCCTTTTCCCACTGTTATTGCAATTGGATTTAATAGAGTAAATATATTGTTTCTTCAATTATTTGATAGAAGGCTGTTTGTTTTGAACGATGTGTTGATTGTGGTGAAGTCCCCAGCTGGTTATGGGTGTGGGAAGGATCTGATATGTGACAGGAATGTGTGCTTGGCTCCCGTTGCCTTTGCCTTGGGCAGCGAGGCTTTGATGGTGGGAGAGATATTGGGGTCTTATTGCCTGAGCCCCTCCACCACAAACACTCACCAGTGTTTCCACATGGTCTCTTAACTGCGCTGGGAGTGACAGGACTTCTAATTAGTGAGGCATGTGTGTTCACTTCGTGTCTATTCTCTGGGTGAATGGTTGTGAAGTGTGGACCTGGAGAAATAATGTTATATTGATATCTGTATAATGAAAATTATAACTGCACACTCAGTTCAAAGTTATTTTAACGGCATTTCTGCAACAAGCCTTTTTCTGCACATGATATGATAATATTGGAATTGTATAATAATTGCAATATTCTTAGCTTTTGGGGATTTTTGTTGAGGAGAAATAATTAAATATGCTTTAAATGTAAATCTGCCTAAATTGAGGTTGTAATATTCTCAAAAGTAGTAGTACTCGTGTAGAATGTAACAATTTTTTAT